GACCAGCGCTATGATGCTTCAGTCTCAGATGTGTGTCTGATCATCGGCGTCTGATGATGTGTGTCTGATCATCGGCGTCTCTGAGAGCTTCTGCTAATCTAATAAGTGAATCCCGGTAGCGCAGGCCCGTCCAGCCATCGACCCGCCGTAAAGGCCGAGCCTGCGCAGATAAGCTGATTGTCTTTATTGGGAAGAAACGAGATAAGCACATTCCTGCTGGGAAGAATTCAGCTGCTGTGACCTTCAGGAGAAGAGCCGGGCTTTGTGTGCGTCTGTGAAGAGTGTTCAGTGGAGATGCCGCGTCTCTGACAGCCGGAGGAACCTGTAAAGGTCATTAATGCATCTCATCTGCAGCAGAATCAGCCGCTCCATCTGCCTAATGCCAGCGCTTTGTTTCCTGATCCATTCAGAACACACCGCACTCCTGGACATGCAGACCACCGGCGCACACGTCTCTGTGTGTGTGTGTGTGTGTGTGTGTGTTTTAGACACTGTCTTCCACAGTATTGTGCAAACGCTCTCTCTCTCTCTCTCTCTCTCTCTGCTGTTCCTCCTCATGATCCAGACTGAAGCAGGACTCGCTTATCTAAACTCCACTATGATGAAGTCCTGCAGATCCGCTCATTAGCCCTGGCTGTAGCCGCGCTGCAGTTGATCCGTGTCGTTCAGTCGCAGCAGGCTGTCGTGTGCTGTTTGTGTTCGCTTCACTGAATCACGCATGCGCAGTATTATCAGCTCCCCGCTTCTCAAGTCTGATCTCAGTGTGAAGATAACCAGCCTACTGTTCTAATAACTCAATAACTCAGGAGAGGGGTTTATCTCGAGTCAGAGACAGGTCCGCTTGTTAATAAGGTAAGTAGTGTGTGGATAAGAGCGCTTAACGGAGGCGGGAATCATTTTAACTGACTCAGTTGGATTTGGGGAATTAGTTCACCGGTTCACCAAGAAGATCCGGATAGAATACAGATTCACTCACGATCACCCATACGGAAATAAAGCCCATCACTAAACTGTTAAATGAAGACTCCTGAGCGTCTGCCTGGGTCGTGTTTACCGCTGGCACCGCTGCGGTCAGGTCCAGCCGCTGCTTTTGTCGCAGGAGCAACAGCGAGGCCTGATTGGAGGAGGAGCGCCTCGATCTGGCCAATGGCAGCAGGTTAGAGACTCTGAGGTGCTGTATGGGTCACACACCTGCAGCGCGGAGTAACAGAACCACTGCTAAAGGTGAACAGTGGGCTTATGTTGAAATGCTTATAATGTGTTAAATACATCACAAAGAGGAAGAGGCGGGACACTGGGGCTGTAATTGTGGTTATGGCTCGATTCCACTGCCTGGTACAGTACCGTCAGGTTCGGGTCGAGACGGGTCACCTTTATCAGGCTTGTGTTTACACTGCCAAGGGTGCCCTATTGATGGGTGTGACAGAAAGTTTCAGTCGATGTCATTTTAGCTCGAGGAAATGTCTTCAGTAAAGCTGAACGGGCCGCTGACATATCATAAGAGCAGCACTTCTCACAACACAGACGCTTCACACACATCAGTACTGAACACATTCATCACTAACCTTTCTGTGAAGACCAGTTAATTATAACTGCAGATCAATGACAGTGTGATCATAGCCTACTGTAACGTCTGCAATTATCTGAAATAAATAAATAAATGATCATATTTGAACACACACACACACACTCTTAAAGTCTGCGATATTCACCAAGGTGGTTTTCAAGTTTAGTTTTGTTTTCATTACTCTAATACTCTTGCTCATGACAGTCGGTCAGTCCTGATGAAGACTATTTGTCTATTTTCAACTCGTCGGCACTATAGCCTTGTGATTAGTGTGTCGGCACATGGCACTGACGTGTTCACGGCGACCCGAGTTTGATTCCCGGCTCGAGGTCCTCTGCCGACCCTTCCCCTCTCTCTGCTCCCCCCACTGTGTCAGAACCTCCCCTGTCCTGTCAATAAAGGAGAACCCCCTAAACATCATTATGAACATAAATAAAAGAGAAACTAATGCTGAGATCAGGCTGCGGGACTTTAGCCCTGATTTGGACTCGCCGTCAGGTTGTGAGAAATGGCAGATGAGTCGCTGACGCCGGCAGATATTCGGCGTGCTGAACATCTGGAGCTGTCTGCGCTTCCAATCATGAAATGAGTTCTGACTGAAATAACATCAGCGATCACCTACAGCCAATCACAGAGCAGCATCCACTAATGTGTGTGTGTGTGTGTGTGTGTGTGTGTGTGCGCCTGCAGGCCAGCGGGAGCATGAGGAGTTAGAACAGCTCATCTTCAGTTTATTTGGACTCAAGAAATGGAGGAATGGAGGAGGAAATGCTGTTCTAACGCTAACTGCCTCCACCCTCAGATCTCCAGCTTGAGGATTCCCCAACAGTCTCAATAGGGTTGAGATCAGGGCAGTATGGAGGCCACACCGTCAGTTTCTCTGCTTCTATGAGGGGCACACTGGGCTCAGCAGCAGTCATCTGAACACAGCCTGAAGAGGACTGAAGCCGTCGTCACAGAGTCAGCAGCGCAGTGTGTGTGTGTGTGTGTGTGTGTATGTGTGTGTGTGTGTGTGTGTGTGTGTGTATGTGTGGCTGAGCTCCTGATCGGTGAGTCACATCAGCTCCAGCACAGACGCTCATCATCTGCACTAACTGGATTAGCCACAGCCCAAACTCTGGGAGTGCAGGAGGATGTGTTCAGCCTGGATGCAGAGCGGGAACGAGTGGCGCGGGACGCTGTAATGAAGAGATGTCGCGGCCGAGCATTAGCGCTGTGGCTCCACTCACTCTCAGACCCGCTTCATTCAGCCCCACGCTAATAACGTTAA